ATGGCAGGTATAGCACACAAATTATGTCACATAGTATAGGCAATTATATTTCCATGTTACACAAACTTTGTAACAACAACCATACTCACATATATACACACAGTAACACCCGACCACAAATACATAGTTAAAGTGGACCAATAAGGCTAAGGGCAATTTTATAAAAATATGCTATTCAGACTACTATCATAGCAAAAATAGCAGATATAAACATATTTATGCATTCTAACCATTAATATTATCTACCTCAGTCCACTACAGTAAACACAAAAGGAATGAGCCCTCTTGTTTCCCTTGAAAGTGTGATACCAGCCCATTATATTGAGAGCTCAATACAACTTTCTCTCTTTAGCATGTGACATTGAATATTATATGTCAATGATATCTTTTCTCTTTTGTAATTAGATTTTTTAAAAAATGTTTTATGCTTGCTATGTTTATCTGTTTATTATGGACAAAATTTTACCACACATGAAACTTCATATGCAGTTGCTATACATTAATTTATTGGTCTAATTTTATTATTTTTATTTTTTTAAATTTTTTTATTTATTTTTTAGTTTTTGGCAGACACAACATCTTTGTTTGTATGTGGTACTGAGGATTGAACCTGGGTTGCACGCTTGCCAGGCAAGTGGGCTACCACTTGAGCCACATCCCCAGCCCCCTAATTTTCAACTTTATCCTTTTCCTCCCATCTCCAATGCTGTGCAACTTTAACATAAAAGACAGTTTTCAGATGGATTTTTTAAGTTTTGATACTATTTACATCAAATCTGTAGCATCAAGATTTCAGCTCATCACATTACTAAATAATGAACATTACTAACAACAATTTTTGTAAGGAAAAATACCTCAGAGAATATTCCCTTGATCCAGGTAGGGTTGAATAATTACTATGGAATAACCCATAACATGGTAGTTGCATTCAAAATTCACCCTTTTCAAGGTATGTAAATTTAAAGTAATAACAACCTCCCTAGTTCCTTACTTTGCACACAACATTGAAGGAGACATCTTTACAATTTCTACCTTCCTACTTTATTAAAGCAGCCACTCTTCTTCCCTGATTAGTCAACAAGCCATTCAAGAAATAATTAAAATTCTGTGGGTCATTGCTTAGAATCCCTCTCCTTCTCTCACTTCCCCAAATAAATTTCTCTCAGACTGAGAAAGTCACTTTTTTTTTTTTCTTGTGGAGCTGGTATTATTTAATGAAAATCCTAGGTCTTCTAAATAGATTGCCTAGACTCATTAAATAGATTCATTAAAGGCTGTCATATTCCCAAACTAGTCCTGAGAAAAGGGAAAACCTTTGGCTGTTGTAGCAGTAGGAAGAATATGTTACTGTCTATGATGAAAGTCTGCAGTGCAATGGCTTGCAAAAGTGTTGCAAGATCAAAACTGCCCCCAAGAGTCAGCCCCCAAAAGTCACCTTCTGTGCATATTTTTCACTTCGTAACTGTGATGAAGAACCTGGTATTTAGAATTTTAAAAGCATAATTTTCACTTCTGCTAGACCTATTTTTTATGTTTTTTTTTTTTAGTTGTAGATGAACACACACACATTATCTTTATTTATTTTTATGTGGTGCTGAGGTTCAAATCCAGTGCCTCACACATGTGAGGCAAGTGCTTTACCACTGAGCTACAGCCCGAGTCCTAAGCCTATTTTTGTGGGACACAGGTAGTCCTCTCTTTCGTCTGCCTGCTGTTCTCTTCTGAAAGCAAATTGCATGAATCTCAGAGCTGGACAAATATCCTTGGAAATGATGTAAAATAAGTTTCTTTACATGAATTTTCTCTAATTTTCATATTTTTTTTACAATGCAATTTGCATAACAATCTTTAAGTTTGCTTTTTACAGGTCATTTTTAAAATTTTAAGTCATATTGACTTCTAAATATTAAATATCTATATACAAGAACAAATGCAAAAAGAATATGTGAGAATATGTTTATAAAGCAGAGGATGTGTTTAATTTCTAATGGACGTAAGATGTTGTTGATCTTTAAACATGTCTCTTTGGGGGGAATACTAGAAATCTACTTCCAGCAGTATTCATGGACTGAAAACATAGAAAATACATCAGGAAGTCAGTATAACCTCTCTGAGGTTTGCTGAGTATAACACAGGGAGAAAGAGCCCCCTAATGGTTCAGATTATCTATAAAAGCAGAAGAGCCAGTACTTTCTCAAGTCTTGTTTCAGGATGGTTAAAATAGTAACCAGGAAAGACAAGTGACACTGAAGAAGCAAATGGGAAACTGTATGAAATGTTAAACAGCTACCTAAAAAGTGCAAAAAAAAAAAAGTGAGCATTGCCAAGAGGAACTGATTAAGCAAGCTGTTAAATGCAGACTCAGTCTGAGTCTGACATATATCACCCTAGAATACCTGTCCTGGATCATGTTTGCTGAGGAGCAATGATCTGGAATGCAAGAGACATATCAATTAGATAGTCAGAAATTACAAAATCTTATTTAAAAAGGAACTTTCTCCTTATCGAGTCATTGAACAGTCCCTATTAAAGAGATGGGAATCAAATTCCTTAGAAGAAATAATATAAAATCTGTAAGAAATGTTTTTAATCGGCAATATTTAGAGTAAGCAAAAAAGAATGTCTAAGCACAGGAGGCACATAGTTTCAGAAGTTATTTCTTTCCTCCTTTTTTAAAGGAGAGATGTAACTTTAAAAATAATTAAGTATGGGTATTTACATATATGCATGCTGAAATTTTAATGGGTTCATAAAAAACAAACAATACAACTGAAAATTAGTTTCCTTTATTGTGTAATTCATTGTAAGTGATTGCTATGCGAAAACTACTGTGTAGACCAGGTTAAATAGATATTGTTGTGAAAAAAAGTATGAATTTTAAATATTTTGATGTCTTAAATTAAGAAAATTAGTGGATAACTAGGATAAAACTAACATATATTTTAAGGAGATAAGTCCAATTATTTGCATAAAAATAAAATATTATTTCAGATAAAACTTTGAACATGTTACATAAAAGTATAATAAACATAGTATATAAAGCCATAGGGAAACATGTTTATAAAAAAGTTAAAATTAATGTTGTGTGTGAATGTATTAAAATATTGTTATCACATACATAAATATGCGACCTATCATGTCTTCCTCAATAGTTTGACGTTGTTTTTTAAATAACTTCCTCACAACACAGATGCATATAAAACTTTGCTAACATGACTCAATTCAAAGAACAAAGCATCATTATCCCCCAAGATATCCATTCCTTTAAATAACTATACTTTCCAAATTCCTATTAATATTATAATTATTGTTTTCTGATATGATTACAACAAATGAAAATATCTGGGTAGCTATAATATTTATATTTTAGGAAACATTTCAATATTTCACATTTAGAATATAAAAGTCATGAAAAAATGTCTGTCACATATGAATTGTATTTATAATAGATTAAAAATGATACAAATACAGAAATAATGCAATTTCAAGTATGCAGTTTTCTTAATTTCAGAAACAATGGCTTCTAAGAGGGTTACTAATCATATTCTTATTTTAATCATTGAAGAATATATTTTAAAAGTTTTGTTAACCTATCACAGATAGTAGTATGATCTTTGATTAAAGGAATTATTCAGGGAACTTCACTTAAAATGACAATCAGAGAAAATCATGAGATAAAATATTTTTCATTGATCCAAAAGCAAATATATTGACTCCAAAAATGTCACATAACTTTTTTTTATTGGTTGTTCAAAACCTTACAAAGCTTTTGACATATCATATTTCAAACATTAGTGAGTTATGAACTCCCATTTTTACCCCAAATACAGATTGCAGAATCACATCGGTTACACATTCACATTTTTACATAGTGCCAAACTAGTGACTGTTGTATTCTGCTACCTTTCCTATCCTCTACTATCCCCCTCCCCCCCATCTTCTCTTTCTATCCCATCTACTGTAAAGGGAATTGCATGGAAATGGAAAGAGACCCTCATTGTTATAAAAAACTACATAAAAGAGGTTGTGAGGGGAATTGGAAGAAAAAACAAGGAGAGAAATGAAATGAATCACATAACATTTTAATGTCAGTATGCATCAAGTAAGATGTTTTATTGTTGTTGTTGCAAGGCTCTCTTCCCAGCAGTTGAGATCCATGACCCATACACACCTAAGGTGGGTCAGCTGCATCAGCACTGCATTGCCCCATTTGGTTATTTCAGTCCTATCCCATCACTTTCCTCAGAAATATTTTTTTTAAAAGCCCTGTTCCCAGCAGAAAAATTAATATACAAAAGCTTCTACATATTCTCAATTTACCTGCACATACCATCACTGACACTTCAAACATTAATTGATGGGACTGCAGTTCAGCAATGAACTCTAGAACAGCTAAACACCTTGAGTCATATTTCTTTGCCTGAGCTCAGTGCTTTCTGAAGAACAAATGCTAGCCATCAATAGCCATAAGGAAAGGGCAATCTAATGTCATATCATTTAGGACATTCCATGTTAATGTTAAAGAGTTAAAACTGCAATCAATTTAGAAAAAAAATGTAACCACTAAAAAGCGCATAGTAGCTTCTATGCCTGCATGAAATATAATAGTTGACAGTTAATAAATTGTTTTTCTTTACATACCGTTATCTCCCAAAGTTGTTTAATGGCTAAAACCAATATTTATAAACACACTGTAAAGCTGTCACTAAAACTACACTTTTAAAAATGGATTTAGCTTATTTATGTTCTTTATATGAAGTATCTACAACACAAACTTATAGTAGTTTTATTTTAAAAAATACTTATATAAGCACCTGGAGATAAAAAGCAAGTATATTTATAAAGATATGTATTCCCACATTTCTAAATCTACATGCTTGTATATAGCATTGACTTTAATGCATTACTACAAACTCAGTTTTTAAGGCAAGCAAAGCTGTGATGTATTCTACTATGAATGATTAAAAAGATTTCCAAAAATAAACATTTAATTTTCTTACCTGGAGCATAAAACTGTTTCTGTTCAGTGCTGAAATGAAGAGAGACTGGAATAGGGCTTGATTTTTCTTTTCTTTTCAAAATCCACTTTAATGATGCAGGAGTAAGACGAGCTATTTCAAGGTGAAGTCTGTTATTTCTTGCTGGGTCTCAGAGCTGACATCTTTTTGTAAAAGAAAAGGCACCTCAGTAAGTTGTTGACTGAGGGAGCTGGGAAGCAAGATTACCAGGCACCAGCAGTCACAGAGATGCTACGGAACGTGCACTGCCTCCCTCTGCACCTTACATCCCTCTCTCCCTCTCTCTCTCTCCTTTTCACCCTGATGCTCACTCAGCTCTGAATCTTAGCTCCTGCTGCTGCTGTATAATCAATCCAGCCTGTCTGAAGCTAATAGTCTTCTATTTAACCAGCCAATCAATAGCAAGGATTCCACTGCTAGTCCCAAGAGTCTTTTCCAAGAGTGGTACAAACAATAAGAGTTTTTCCAGCAGTTTAGCCAAGTATTTTTCATTATTTTATCTCCCTCAGCAATAGAATTTGAGATAGCAGAGGCTTGAAACAGGCTTAGTGTTATTGCAGATTATTGCATTTTAAAATTTACCCCTTCATTTCCAGCTAAAATTAACTTATAGTTGTACATGTTCACATTTCATCCATGTTTATTTAAAAAACATTGCATAGTAGCAATGTGTGATGAAAATATTTCATACTCAAATATGTATAAATATCAGAAATAAACTAACAGTTTATAAACTAACAGTTGCTTTTTGCTAGAAATAGCAATCTACTATGAACCTGTGTATCTTGGATTAATTAAAAACTACCCTATTTTGTAAAATTATGCTACAAGTTATGCAATTTGCTTTTGAAAATTTTCTATCAATATTTGTTTTTCATGAGGAACAAGGGGTGATATTTGTAAATATTTTTGCATCCCAGGATCTGAGTCAGTCTTCAGTGTATAAAACATTTCTCAATTCTAAAGCATAGCTATACAATGGATGCCCTCTGAATGTATCAAATAGAGCATTTCATACCTGATTCAACCCTTCAAGGTTAAGAAGATTTTCTTCTTAAAGTGACACATTCATTGCTCAACTACTGTGACTGACTGTAATAAAGAAACACAAAGCAAAACCTTGAAGACTGAACTGGTTTCTCATTTTCCACATGCTTCCAGAACAGGCAAAGAGCAAGAAAAAAGAAAAGAGCGTATGGGTTCAACTTAACCAAACCATGGAAATATAGTCTTTCAATTTCTAATTAAGAAGTGGCCGTTTTTCTTACTTTCACACTGCTTGGTCAACCAGGCTTTTAAGTTGACTTTTTCTTTGTAATAATGCATTACTGTGCTCATTAAGGCAAATTGTGTAAGAGTGCTTAACTACACTTCAATTCTCAGTAGGTATTAAATTTCAAGCCATAGTCATTGGAGTACAAAACACATACCATGTGATATAAATAAAAATTGCAATATGAGCTATTGTGCCTTGTAAGTTAATATGAAAAGACCATAAGTTATGTATGATCATGGAGTTAAGCTCAAGTAAGGTTCAAATTCTGAAGTACTGTCACACCTATTACAGGAGAACTTTCTTGATTTAATTGACTGTATTTAGCAAATATTAATTGAAAACCTCATAGCATCAGGCCTTCTGCTCTCAGTAATAGAAAAGCAATTAAGATGGAATGGACTTTCTTACAGTATTGATATTCTTACTGTACTGTCCTGTGGATAGTAAATCATCTAGGAACTTGCTACCTTGTGGACAGGTAGGAAGTTTTTGATGAACAAAATAAAATAAGAGTAATACCTGCCTTCTTTTACAATAGTTTAAAGAGCAAAAAGATACTCAAAAGAGAGATCATCCCTCCTGTAGAACAGACAGACCCTTTACAAGACATAGAATTAAGATGATCTTCATAAAAGAGAGTAGAAAATATTTTACAGGTAGAATAAAAAGGAAATTGTTGGACCAGCAAAATCACAAGATCAATGTAGGTGGGAGATGGGTGAAGTGTTTGGAATGGGTGGCTGAATCAGGTTGATGTGCAATTAAAAAGGAGAAGGTCCATACTATGGAGAATATCAAATGAATGACTGAGAATGTCGGTGCAGTTTGGACATTTTGAAAATGTTTTAGCGTGAAAGTGATAAAATTTAACCTGTTTTTGAGAAACTCAGTAAATAAGAAGAATATAGTTTGTACTAGGGTGAGTTACCAATGAAAGTCCATAGTCACTAGGACATCCTTTGACAAGGGTTACTTAGGAGCATTAAAGAATGGAATCAATGACCTGATGGTGGAAATAAACAAAGAGAAATAATACTGAAATTCAATCTAAAATTTTCAGACATTCCAAACTACTAACAAAAAAATGAAGCTTAGGAAAACTTAACAATTTCAAAACTTCAATTTAAGATGGTGATAGGAAAAAAAAAGTTAGTGATAAATGACATTTATGCACATTCACTTATGCACCATCATTTTTTATCTTTCATAAAATTTATCTCTAATTATATTTAAATTCATTGTTTTTGTTTGTTGTCATATAAAGTTTCTATGGCAATATAAGCTCAATGATTATAAGGAACTAGTGCTGTCCATCAATTTTTTTCCCATGCTTTTTTAGAATTGTCTCTGGCATATATTACACTTTAATAAATATTTCTTTAGGCTGGGAATTGCTGCTCATTTACAAAGCACTTGCTTAGAATGCATGAGGCCTTGGATCTAATCCCCAGTAACACAGAAAATGAAATAATTTCTTCAGTGGAAAGCAGATAATTACTATGTTTGAAGAAACTTAATAATCAGCATGATAGGCTCTGTGCTTAAAAGTCCACAAATACTAATCTCACACTCAAAACTCTATGAAATTAATATTGCTTCATTTTCACAGAAGGTAGTATTAAAGATTTTAGTCATTTTGTAAAATGACTCACAATTATTAAGTGTCTGATCCCATTCTCTTATCAAGGTTGTGTATTTAGGATTCAACACTGAATCTGACATAAAATAATAAGCTGTATGTAGATTTGTGGGTCATATTATTGTAATGAGCAGAGAAAACAAAACTAAATTTAATTAAAAATGAATAATTGTAATTGTGAGAAGATGACAGAGTAGGAAGCACCAGAAATCTCTCTCTGCACACCATACTCTATAGAAAATAATTGCATTTGCAGAATCTGATTGAAGTAATTATCTTGGAGTTCTGGAGTCTACTAATGCTTATACCTCCCAATGAAGGCTTGGCTGGCAGATTGCAGTTTATCTTGGCCCATTAAAACTCTTAGCACAGCAGAGCTTGTTTCCTATATCTCTGGCATGTGACAGGCAGCTGTGGGCCTGTTCCTAGAACAGCTACTCTATATCTCTAAGGGCCAAAGCTAGAAAAAGAACACAGTCTTCAAAATATTGGGTTCTGGTTGCTGTTTTAATTGCAAAGGAACATACAAAGAAGCAGTGGTCATTGCTTCTGCACCTTTCCTCAGTGATGTAAGCCACTCTCCCTATGTATAAAATAATTTTCAGGTTGTTTAAAGAGCTGGCACCCCACATATTCTTTCATTTTTCCCTTGTGTTCACTTAGAAGGTGGACATTTAAAATTAGAATATCCAAAAGAAACATATGAGGGGGAATAGAAGATCTTAAGGCATGAAGATGAAATAGACTGAAAAAGACTTTATAATACTTTAGACGTACATATACTTTACCTTGATTCTAGGCACAGGAAAAACACATAACAATCAAAACAAAATATAAAGGGGGGAAAAAAAACAACTCCGGAGAAGAGGAAAATCTGATTTCCAGAGTTACAATATTACAAAATTTTGACAAAAAATTTAAAACAACAAAGCATACAAAGAATAAGAAATCATGGCTCACTCAAGACAAAATTTAAAGCAGAAGAATCTGGCCTCAAGGAAAATTCAATGACACATTCATTAAATAAATAAAATCAAGTCTTACAGACATTCAGAGAAACAAAGGAAAACATAGATAAAGAAAAAATGATGTATGGAAAAATGGAAATAAAAATAAAAAGATAAAAAGTATGAAAATTAAATCAAAAATAAATTTTAGGCTTCCAAAAATACAATAATAATTTTAAAAAATAAAAATAAAAGGAGTTTGATAGAGATTAAAAGCAAATTTGATAAGTGAACTGAAAGATAAAACAATAGAAGTTATTAAGTCTGTGGTAAAGGAAATAAACTGTGAAAAAATGAACAATGTGTAAGGAACTTGTGGGATAACATCAAAAAATAAATGTGTGTATTGTGTCTATCCAAGAATGAGAAGAAAGAAAAGGACACATAAAACATTAACAGAAATAGCTAAAAACTCTCAACTTTTATTTAGATGGGCTGGAGTTGTAGCTCAGTGGTAGAGCACTTTCCTAGTATTTGTGAGGCACTGGGTTTGATTCTCAGCACCATATATAAATAAATGAAATACAGGTCCATTTACAACTAAAAAAATTAATTTCAGCATGAATATAACATATTCAAAAAGCATACTAAGTTTCAAGTAGGAAGAATTCAAAGGAACCCACAGGGGACATTATAGTCAAACTTTAGGGAGATGAAGACACAATTGGGAAAACAGTAGGAGAGATTCTGTATGTATCAGAGGAGCTTTCATAGTAAGATTATAATCTGATTTCTGAGATGATGAAGGGCAAAAGACAACATGCTGACAGATTCAAAGTGCTACCATGGAGCAAGAAAAACTACCAACTGTGAACATTAACTCTGGCAAAACAATCTTTCACAATAAGCATAAGATTAATACATTCCCAAATAAATAAAAGTAGAGACTGCTGTGTTTGTTGTTTACCACTAGACTTACCCTGGAAACATTTACAAAAGGAATCACCCAGTTTGAATGGAGAGAACTTTAGTTAGTTGTTTCATCAACATTACAAAAGAAAGAGGTAAACAGATAAATACATCATCGTAGGTATATATGTGGGCAGTTACAAAAAGTAGTGATATTTTAACAATTGTGTAACTTTTTTCCCTACATGATTCAAGAGACAAATGCATTTTAAAAAGCAATTAGAAGTCTAAAATATAGTATTTTTGTTACTTTTGTTTATAAACCTATCTTTTCTCATATGTAATTTAAGAGACTTCAGCATTAACCTTCTTGACTTCATATTTAGGAACAATGTATAAAGACACAGTTTTGGAATATCAACAACTCAAAGAGGAAGATACTAAAAGCCCAGAGGCTTTCTCTGCCATATAAAATAAGCTGATATAGATTCAACTTTGAATATTATAACTTTCAGATGTTAAATGTAATCCCCATGGTAACCTTGAAGAATACAACTATATAACATATTAAAAGAAAATGAGATAGGAATTACACAGTTCACTACAAAAAAAAAAAATCACCTAGACAAAATAATACAATCAGGCAGGAAATGAAGGACAAAAAATGTTAAAGGCCATATAAAATATAAAAGAGAAAAAAAAAACAATTTTGTTTTTTATCAGTAATTACTTGACTCAGGAGTCTGGGGTGGGAAA